CTAAGAGGGACATGGGGTTCTACCCTCCTAGTTGTTGGTAGTTGATGGCAACTGAGGGACAGTCATTCTCCACCAGGGCCATGCTGGCTGTTGTTACTCATGTGCCTCTTTGGATGGCCACAGAACCATGTACGTATGTGCAGCACCAACTGAATTCCGGGTTATTAATAAGTAAAAAAGGGAGAGGGAGAGAGCGAGAGCACATAGGCTGTGAGGCACCAGGGGGAATGAGTGGATAATCATGACAAATGTATAAAACTTTCAAAGACTAAACAAACAAAAGAAATCCCCAAGTACAGAATAGACAAATGTGCTTGCCATTGCCTGGAACTGAATGTATATACCACTTTTGCATTTGCATGCCTCCAAGCCTGGCCAAATAAATTAAAAAACCAAAAACCTTGTGATTTTTAAACCATTTGTTTGTTACACCTTAAGATTTCAGGTCATTTTTACCTAAAAACTATTATTTTGTATGTTAACTCTCTTCTGTGAGGAAAATACCTACTCACCCAAATACCCAGGATATGTTATCAAGATCCAAGAACAGGTTTTTCCATTATCATTTCAGAACCAATACCCAGCTAATCACATTTTATATAACTCACTTTACAGTCTTTATTGTCTCAGCAATGAAGCTAAACATTATAAAATACTACTGTTGAAATAAGATGGCCCTCAGCAGACAAAATGGCTTAATGGGTAAAAGGTGCTTGCTACTCAGCTCAATGATTTGAGCTGAAACCTTGAGACCCACAGGGCAAGGGGACAGAACTCTTCAAGTTGTCTCCAGATTGTCACATGTCCACATGATACCATGAGATGTATGTAATCACACATGTAAAAGAACTCTCATCAATTTCTATTCAACATCGCTGTTGAAATTACTCATTTTTTAAGTATATGGAAATGAAAGATTAAATGTTGGGTTTTGAACTGCGACTGAAAACAATAGGCCCTTTAAGATTTCAACTTGACAATGAAACTTCATGGAGACTAAAATAAAGACTAGATTTTTTACTTCAAGAAAGAAAAATAAATCCAACAGCAACAGCTAAAACCCACAGAATAACCAGCCATATGTGTTTATCCTTATCCCCACAGGTGGATGTTGTCTCCATTTTCTAGATGAGAATACTATGTGTGGGAGGTTAGGTAATTGTTAAGGATCATAAGATGTCAGTCAAAATCCAAATGGGGGTAGGCCATCTAGCCACAGGTCTCCCCAAAATATAAATATGGCCAAAAATGTTTATTACTAAAAGCCTTTAATTATTACAGTGGTTATTATAACCCGCTAGCGTATAAAAAAATGACACAGACACCTGACAGAATTCTAAATAAGCCTTATTTCACCTAGGGCTGGGTAGATATTACCCCCTAAGCTACCTTGTTACCTTTCAGCTCCACATCGTCATTTGCTTTAATCATTCCTATCTGGGTTGTTTCCCATCCAGTACCCACATAAATACTTGTACATGCTTTCCCTCTGGGTTGCTCCTCTCCAAGCCATTCTCAGACTTCACTCCTCTTGGCCTACGTTGTTCTTGTCTTACCACACTGCAGTAATATACTGCACAGCAAAAACCCAACTTACTTTCTTACCCCAAGACTCCAATGAGATGAATGTTTTAGGGATAAAAACAACAGCAATCACCATCTGGCTGAAACTTTTATTTCAGATATAAGCATTCTGTGTACTTTAAAATGATTAAAAGTTATTTATGAATTACTATAATAAATATTTCTTTAAAATAGAACTGTGTAAATATTCATAAACTTCACTGAAGAACCCCTCACCCCAAATAACTGAACTGTATCAAGAGCTTACAAATGTCACAAGGAAGCTGTGCAACGGTGTGCACAGGACATTTTGAAAGGGGACTAATGAAGCATCTCCCCATTACAATTTTCATTCAAAAATTTCCCTCGGTCAACTTAGTTTGCTGTATTTGTTCATGCTTAACCTGAGAGGGAATGTAGGAAGTAAAACAGTTTTAGAAGAAAAACTGATCCTAATCTTAGCATAAGTCATAAAGAGGCTCTTCTGACAGCTGTCAAAGCTATGATGAGCAAAGCACACATACTTTCACTAAGACACTAAGAAAATACCAATACACCATATATTTGAAAACAAGGAAATCTTATGCTTTGGATGTTATATTGAGTATAATTTTGTTTCGTAGAGACAGGGTTTTTGGTGTAGACCTAGCTGTCCTGGAACTCACTTCTGTAGACCAGTTTGGCCTTGAACTCCCAAAGATACACCTGCCTCTGCCTCTGCAGTGCTGGGGTTAAAGGCATAACTCACCACTGCCTGGCTTGTTTTAAAAGACTTAAGTAAAACTCACACACATGTAATTCCACAGGGAATCTAGGTATGATTAACTCTCTGAACTAACCTTACAATGGGTAGTTAACACAAAGGCTATTAAAAGCAAAGAAAACGTGTTTTCACTAATACCATATACAGTGTTCACTTGTTTTCACATCTCAGATGTTTCCCATTGGCTGACCACAATCAGTGCTGTCCTAAGCATTCAAAATATGACTGTAGGTGACTTTCTATTTCTCTCTAATCTCTATACCAAAACCTCTGTCCTTTATGTATGACACTTAAATATTCTTAAATCACTTAAATACTCTGCAAACTCCCCAAAATGACACACACACATTTGCTAAAATACCTGAAATTCATAACACCAATCAGTTCACACATTTATTAAAGCATTTTAACTTACTCAAGCATGGCAGATGAAAATGTATGTGCGTATCTGAAAGACATGTACTGAGTTTATTCTCTAAAAGAAAAAGCAGGCCTGAAGGGTCACATTACTGAACATTTTAAACACAGTGACAGGTTATCGCCTAAACCTCAAGGAGTTCTGATGATGTAAATGGTAATGACTATCTGCTTCTATTAAACAAGCAAGACATCAGTGAGCAGAGACACCACAAGTGGTCACTTCATTTCTTTCTGTTGCTTCCAGTTGCTAGCATAGTTGCAACTCGCATAAATATATTTAATGTATCCATGTAGATGCTCAACATCCTAAAAAAGAGAATTATAGATGTGATTCTAATGACAATCTAGTTCTTAGTACAAGAAAGGGAAAAACAATACTCATTATTCTTAGTGTTATTAAATGGAAATTAAAAATACAATGTTTAAAATGTTAGCTGGGAGTCCTAAATTAGGTAACGCTCAGTTTTCCTTCTGGTAGAACCAGTTTTTAAATGCGGAACACAATTTTTAAAAAGATTACCTAGCATTTGACATCCTGCTATGAGTACCAAACCTGGGTGTCAGACAATAAATAACCAAAACAAATCAAAGAAACACACCTTTAAAAACTTGCAAGACACAGTCTGGCATTTTCAAATAAAATATACTCACTTTATGTCCTTTAAGAAAGTTGCTACAAAACTACAAGTGTTATACCAAACTATTACATTATTTTATTTTTAGGTCAAGGAAAGCATAACTAAAAATGTGAGAGACACCCCGAAAGTCTAGGCATTATCTAGGAAGAGAAAGAACACTGTATTACTGAATGCTAACTAAAGTTAAGTGTCTGTCTCTAAAATAAACACAAGGAAAAGTGTTTTTGGAACTGGTTTTCCCTCTTTAAACATTCTAGTTATTATGTGCATCCCAACAAGAGGTACTGACAACTGATACCTAAATGCTATACTCAATTGCATTGCAATCAGTTTTCTAAGCAGAGAGCGCAGATGATACTCTATCACAAGTAGTAAAATTTGACCTGCTGGAAGTCCCAGTACTGGTCTTGTGTGCCCTTATTTGGAAATATGGTTTTCAAAGATATGATTATGATGTAAGTTAGAATGAGGTCATACTGGACTAGAGTATATATGATGGCCTTATTACCAGCAGTGATAAGCAGCTGAGGGACAAGATTCTCACTCAGAGCCTTCAAAGTCCCCTACCTTGCTGATTTAGTATTCTGGCCTCAGGAACTAAAGAGAATAAATTTTAAGCCACTTATCTTAAGCTACTTTGTTATGGTAGTACCCTGTGAAACAAACACACATAACAAAGCAGCCATACCCATGTAACACAGTAGTAACAGTTAAGGATTACTTACGAATTGATGGGATCATACTTATGAACTCCATACATTGGTGTTACTTCTGCACGCTTGATTATTTTCTGTGTATCATACAGAAGGAACATGCTGAAAAGAACTAATCCACCATACATTGCCACTGAGTACAGAGTGGCACCAGCTACCGAGGTAGGGGGAAGAAACATAGACCCTGAAACAAGAAAAAAAAAAAAAAAAAAAAAAAAAAAGAACATGAGAGCCATTTCCAAGTCAGCTCAATCATTTCAGAATTATTTAATAAACAGACTAGTTAAACTATAAGTCTAGATTTTATGATGTCAAATAAGCAAAAACCAATCAAACTAGCTTATCTTTTAAATAACTTTTAAAAATAAACCTCAATGCTTCAGGGTACCTAAACTTTTCAAAGCACAGCAGCTTACCCAGTGAAGACACAAAAACAAGACCCAGGCCCACTCCCAGGGGTGCTCCCATGTTCAGGAACTTCTCACTGGGTGCACACATGGCCACAGTAGAGAGGCCTCCCACAATTCCAGCGGTGTACCATGCAGCTCTCAGAAGAAGAGGCCCCCCTAAGATTGTCAGAGGAGCCACCACTGCACCCATCACACCTGGGGAGAGAGAACAATCGAGGCCTTATTAAATATCTACTAAATGACCATGAAAAAGAAAATGTCACTGTGATGGTGTACTTTATGCTAAGCAATGTAAGTAAATTTTACATTTAGGCAGTTCTACCCTACCTTCCAAATTATACAATCAGTATCTGTGGCTATACATATTCTCTACCACATCAACATGGGGCCACAAATCAAATGCAAATAGCAGCCTGCATTTTTAGTAATTTTGTGAAAGTCTATGTAGGCCACTATTTCAATCTGAGGCCACTACTAGATTTCACAATTACTGAAGACAGAACTCAGACAAAGCTGATACTAGAAGGTCAAACCAACTGCTGCCCCAAAGAAAAAAACTGAAAGAGAAGTGTGTGACAGAACTCAGAAACGTAGAGGTTTCCTATGCAGACACTGGATTTGCCTCACCTAATGAGGAGCACAGTCTCATTTCAGCCTATAGTAAAAAAACCTCGTCAGGATTTACAAAAGCCTTCCTTAAAAATGATAGGGGAGTTAGGCATAGCGGCACATGCCTTTAATCCCAGCTCTTGGAAGGCAGAGGGAGGCAGATCTCTTTTAACCTGGAGGCCAATCTGGTCTACATAGTGAGTTCCAGGACAGCCAGAGCTGCAATAGTGAGACCCTGTCTTAAATAAACAAAACAACAGAGAAATACTTCAGTGGCATGTTACTGACAATCACCAAACATCAATGCAAGCCCTCCAACTGGAAGATTCCAGGACACGAAATTATGTCAACAGAGAAATAATGTATGTTGCTTCCTTTTCACGATGCTGGGGAGCAAGCCAGGACTTTGTGCAGCAAGTGTAATAAACACTGAGCTACATGGTCTGCTGCTGTCTTTTGAGAGAGGGTCTCACTACATTTCTGAGGTGGTCTGTAATTTCTCTGATTTAGCCTCATGAATAGGTATGATTACAGGCCTGTTTCATGAGACCCTGCTCTTGTTTTAAATTACTATTGTATAAGCATGTGTGTGGGATGGAGGTTGGGGATCGGGTACACATACTATGCCATGGAGACCAGAGAACAACTCCGTAAAGCTAGTTCTGCTCTATCTTTATGTGGGTATGCTGGGTATTGAAGACAGATTGCCACACTTGTGTAGCAAACCTTATCTGCTGAGACATCTTGCTAGCCTCTCAGCTCTTTTCTTATATATAATTTATCTTACACCATCACCATATTAAGCTATCTAAATACCAACCTTTAATACCAATACCTTTAAAGCAAAAGTCTCGCAATGATGCACCAACAATAAGTGTATGAAACTATGTTTTCCAACTGGGCACAGTGGCATATGCCTGTAATCCCAGGAGGAGCTGGCAGATCTCTGAGTTTAAGGCCAGCCTGGGCTCCTCAGAGAAATCCTGTCCCGAAAAATAACAAAAAACCAAAACAAATAAAAAAAAAAACCCAAAAAACAAAAGCAAAACAAAAAAACAAAAACAAAACAAAAACCAAGAAAGAAATTGTGTTTTCCAAAAATGAGGTTCATGAATCATTATTGCCAACCGAAGGGCTACTCAAAGAGGCCAGTATTTAAAAGTCAGAGATGGCAAGAAACTGAAGGAGGAAGACTGTTGGACAGTATGGCATACATATTAAAACTCTGTCTCAAAACTGAACAAAAATAAAATTAACCAAATAAATAACATGGGAGTGAATAATGTTCAAGACATTTTAATAGCCATACCAGAATGCAGCATCCAAGCCAGATGCTTTGGGCCTGGGTTCTCTTCATACGGTATGGAATGTACCAGCAAACCAGCTCCAATCATGGCTGCAAAGGTTGCACCAATTGTCTGGAAGACACATTAAGAGAAACAGATCCTTAAAGGAGAAGCCCACAGACTCAAATACAGTTAATCACTTAGAAGAAAAATAAACCGAATCCTGTCTTTCTCCATTATACTTGGGTTTCTACTTCAAATTCATTTCTACATTATTGACTACATTAGCAAGAGTGCCCTCTGCTGCCACAGACATAATTTTCAACCTGACTTAAGAGCCCACGTTTTGCATTTTACCTTTCCACGTTCTACAGTTTAGTAATACTGAACTGGCAGGATTGAATAAGCGCTCCAAAATTTCATGCTTCTTTAGTTGTGCCCACTTGCCCTGAGAATGCCTGATGGTGCACACCTTTATTTCCAGCACTTGCAAGGCAGACGGACCTCTAAATTCAAGACCTGCCTGGTCTACACACTACATTCTGGGGCAGCCAGGTCCAGATAGAGGGAAAACCAAGGCCAGCCTTGCTAAAAACTGAGTTTTAGAACAGTCAAGGTTGAAAGACACTGTCTCAAACAAACAAATGAAACCAAAACTGAGAGAGAGAGAGAAAGCAAACCAAGAAACAAAAAAACATCGTGGCAGGCCAGTGAAATGGGTCAAATGCAAACCTGAGAACCTGAGCTCCATCTTCAGAATCCACATATAAGTAGGAAGGAGAGAACCAATTCCATAAAGTTGTCCTCTGACCTCCACATGCAAATAGCATGTGCGTCTATATCTTAAATACAGACACATTCACATACCTTTCATACTATCTGACTTACCTTTCCTACTTTCTGACTTAATAAGACTTACTTAATAAACTTATTTCAGAAGTTTTTCTAGCAAGCAGTTTGCCAAACACCTCTCCTGTTCCAAATGCACTTGAGAGATACTAGGTTTCAAACCTGGGAAGATGGCTAAGGTGCCTATTTAACATATCAAAGCAGACCGTGCTGCCAGTCTCCCTGCATCCCTCAGTTACAGGGCCCTCCAGGCTGGCGTACCCTACCCTCTATCCTGAACTCTCCAGCCCAGGGGACTTGCTCTTCCCTATACAATCCGGACATTTTGATTACCCACCCTCTCTTTGTACGTTGGGCGTCCTGGCTGCTGTACCTGGTTCCCTTCTCTTTTCCCCTTCCCCTCTTCCCAGGGTAATGACCACATTGGACTCTCGCAAGTGTCCTAGCCTCTGACTAGAAGCAATCAAGTTTCCTTCCCACAATACCCCCAATTCAAGAGAAACTATGCCTTCCTATCTATCTTAGCTCCAAAAACACTCCACTCTTTTTATTCTGTACCATCTACCTAGCTCTATCAACTCTATTTTGGAAGCTATTCTTAGTAGCTGAGAATGGCATTTCGCTGCAGTGATTATGGCCTCACATCAAAGTTTCCTTTCCTTGCACGCAACACCACTGTCTGGGTCCTTGTAGTCTTTGGTATTCTATTTTTATATACATTTTAATCTTACAGACTACTGTTATGCTTATTATGTTGAGATTTTAAATTATTTGCCTTGATTCGAACTGACTTTTCCTAGTGAAAACTCACCTTCACTTATTCTTTGCCTTCACAAACCCCTACGCTAGCAGAATCAGATCTGATGGCCATCGTCTTTAGACTATGTAAGAGTTCAAATGGCTATTATCATAGTGGTTCTCTTCTTGGTGGGCATAGTGCTTAGACTATGCAATGGCCACATTATCATAATGGTTCTCCTCTTTGAATGCAAAACATAGTAACCATGGAGTCTAAACTTAAGAGTTCTGGGTTCCTCACTTGCAGGAAACAGTCGTGTTAATTTCTACCTCTTTACTTGCCCAGTCTCATACTCATCATAGTTCATGCTCTAATCAGTCATTTTGAAACTCAAGAGGCACAGCTGATGTACCCACTTTGTGTCTCTCCCACATTAGTTCTTAACACTCAAACAGAATCACATTTTCTGCCTGCCACCCCAGTCTCTACAGTAGTCACTGTTTAGGTACTTCGCCTCTGCTTAGAAATAAAAGATACCTTTCTAACCATGTCCTCTCAAACACTTGAAATTTCCCTCAAATGGGACCGTAAACTGCTTGTCACATTAGGCCTTCCCAGCTCTTCACCTCTGCTCAGCTGTTTAGTCAGACTGTGCTGACCTTGTCCTCTTCTAAAACAAAACATGCTACAAAGTCTGCTCCACAGAACTGCCCTTGATGGTCCCACACAGGGTCTTTCACTGACTTTCTATTTCACTTTCAATTTTCTATTTTTTCACTAAACATCCTATACAGTGAACTCTGGATCTCCTCTGCCACAGAGCAGGAGCAGAACCCATAGCTGAAATCACACAATGGTAGCTGGCAAACCAGCAAAACCTTTAAGAAACATTCACTTAACCAAGTGCCTTGTAGTTCAGGAGTAAGCAGCAGCGGCACTATATTAACTAATGTCCTGTAACAGTGCAGAAAGCTTGGGATTTGAGGACAGGAATGTCACACTGACCTGCAAGGTGGGTTAGAGGTTATTTTTTAGCCAGTGGGTACAAAACAGAAGTTGTTTGCTAGCTGCAGCTAGACAAGGATGATCCTAAGCTCAGTTTCCAACTCCTTTCATCCTATTAAGACATATATTTAACAATAAGTGATAGAATATTCTTCCATTTAATGTCCTCTCTCTTTCCCATAATCTATTTTAGCAAATCTTTTTTCTCTTCCCTGTATCAAGAACTGAACATTCCACACATCCTAGGCAAGTTCTTTACCACTAAAATATATTAATGACCCTACTTCAGGAAATCTTTCATCTTTACACACACACACACACGAACACACGAAGCAACCAAAACCAAACACCAAAAACAACCCAACACCCAGCACCGCCTTCCCCACAAAACTAGCAAGTATCTAACTTACCACCCAAGAGCCTCTCATCATGAAGTTCATGAGAGCAGGTGTTCTGGCTACTGCCAAGGCAGACAAAGCTGTTAAACCAATACTCCCTGCTAAGTACATGTAAGTAGAATGAATTCTATCCTTCACATACTGAGGCCAAATTCTGTAAAAAATACGACAAGGTTAGCTTATAGAACTATGGGTGTAAATTCTGAAAAATTATTCATTAGATACAAAAGACTCTGGGATAATCACTTTAATGATCTCAATTTTATTTAAGATGGAAATAATTATTATTTTATGTTTTTGGTTTTTCGAGAAAAGGTTTCTCTCTGTAGCCCTGCCTGTCCTGGAACTCACTCTAGAGACCAGGTTGGCCTGCTGGGATTAAAGGTGTGCACTACCATGCCTGGCTATGATGGAAACAGGTATGCACATCTTAGAGCTGTTGACGATTAAATGACATAAGCCATATAATTGATATACATAAAATTTTTTTTTTCTCCTTGTCTGAATACATAAACTTGGTAAAAGATGCTTATTTAGGCTTGAATAAATCTATGACAAATGAACAGAAGAAACTTTATACATTCATGAATATTTACAAATGAGGACCAGACAAGGCATTCCAAAAGTAACTAGAGACTAATGGGAAGAAAACAGGAACCTTACTTGAAGAAAGAATTTTGGTTGTTTGGGGACACTTTACTTACACAGCCTTTTCGATAGCTCCAATCTCATTAGACATTCCCAAGCCATAGTAGCACAGCGCTCCAAGACCAACAGCTGCTCCTCCAGCAACAAACCACCTTCCCATCTGATCAACTGCAAAAACAGCACCAAACACAGGCAAAGATCAACATATTCAAACTAAAGTAAAGTGCGCGGGTAATGATTCAAAATGTTCAGGAGTGGAATGAAATCACAACTATTTCTTCACAGTAGTCACAAGGGGGACACAGATACTTCTCAACATTAGGAGACCAGAAAGAAATGTACTCCAGAATCAAATGTACAGGTACCACAAGTATCATGACAAAGAATAGCGGAACATTTTAGTGTAGAGGTCCACACAACTGTTAAAGCACTTGGGAGACTGAGGCCAAAGATCATGAATCTGAGACAGGCAGCTGGGTCTTTATAGCAAGAACATGTCTTAGATAAAATAAACATTTAAAAAATAAAGGAAAGCTGAGAGAGAAATGGTTATCAGTCACTGTATACCATGCCTTGTGTACTAACCCAAGTGAAACTTTATGTGACTCTAGAAAAACAAAGAAAAATGCTATTCATGTTTCTGTAGTCAACAAAGGGACAGATGTTCTTGCTTTAGAATACTAAAAATTTATCAACTCTGAGGCAGGTGTTCATAAAGAACATCTTACTCCCTTTAACTTAAATTTGTTCACTAAAGGGGCTGGAGAGGTGGCTTGGTAGTTAAGAACACTCTGCTCTTCCTGAGGTTCTGCGTTCAAGTCCAAACAACCACATGGTGGCTCACAACCATCTACACTGAGATAGGATGCCTTCTTCTAGCATGCAGGCATACATGGAGATAGAGCACTCATATACATAAAATAAAATCTTAAAAAAAATTTTAAAAATGTAATTAAAAAAATCATTATTTCTTCTGTGGTCAAGCCTCTAATCAAAAAGAAACGCCAGGTGGGCGGTGATGGCACATGCGTTTAATCCTCTGCACTCAGGGAGGCAGAGGCAGGCAGATCTCTGTGAGTTCAAGGCCAGCCTGGCCTACAGAGGGAGTTCCAGGAGAGCCAAGGCTACACACAAAATCCGTTGTAAAAAAAAAAAAAGAAGAGAGAGAGAGAGAAAGGGAGTGAGGAGACAGGGAGGGAGGGAGGGAGGGAGGGAGAGAGAAGAAAGGAATTTCCTGCAAGATACTGATTAGGGATTGCCTTAGCTACAATAGTGACATCTCCAAGACTATTAAGTAGCAGTGCTGTTGTTTAAACAGTTTAGGGAAGATTAACAATCTGGTTTTACAATCTTCAAAGTTAATATACAAAGTACAATAAAAATGACTTCTTTAAGGACTGAACTACTGCTCTGTGGTTACGGGTCCTTTGCTACTCTTTCAGAAGACTGGAGTTCAGTTCCCAGCACTCACTTCAGGTGGCACATAATCACCTATAACTTGAGTTCAGGGGATCAGATGTCTTCTTCTGGTATCTGCACCTGGCAGATACTCAAACAAACAACGTACATGAATGAGTAGCAACTTAAAAAAAGACAGTGCTCATGGATTCTTTTTGGATGGTTAAGCTTTTACTAACATGTTTTAGTAACTTATTTTTAACTTCACAAACAAATGCTTCAATGAAGATTCTAAATAACTTAAACTTCCTGAATAGGCTCTACCACTTTAGAAAATAGTATGAGAATAATTTGGTTTCCTAAAAACAATAAACGCTACTATAATTAGGAGCCATATACTCCAATGCAGAGCATCAATCTTTTTTGGGTTATCAGGTCCCTGAGAATATAAGTGTGACCTTTCTTGGAGAAAATACACACATACATATTTTAATATATTTTTAGGCAGTTGTTCAAGTTGTTCATGGACTTCTTAGACACAACTACAGGCTTCACATTAAATACTGAATGTCTACCTACTTTTAAAGATTTTTTCCATTGATGGTTCCAAAGCTGCATCTTTCAGTTCTTGGCCAGTTTTCCCACGGTAGGTCCTAATTCTTGTCTTGGTAGCATATTCCTGACATTAAAAAAAAAAAAAAAAAGACATATTACAGACCAACAGCATGTCAATAAAAGAGGAGCTTTTTACTCTAACGCAGTATCAGTATAAAAGCTACCTAAAATATTACATGAAGGTAAGCTGTAGGACCTTTCTTTCATTTGTGATAAGGAGGGATTGGAATGATGTGAATCAACAGGGAGAAGGCTCACTGGAACCCTTACTGTTGCTTTAGTAAATCACTGTTACAGTTAGTCACTAAAGAGTAAGCTACTAAACTCAGAATGACACCAACCAACTAAAAACAAACAAACCCTAAAACAAAGAACCTGGATGGGGTGGAAAGCCATAGTGAAAAAGCATTCATTACCCTGCTGGGTGTTAAGAGCCATTGGTTCTTGGTGATGGAATTCTTCACAAGTGGAGGGGCCTTGGTGATGAAAGTGGGCTGGAGAACCCTGGAAGGTAGTGTCCGGAGACACACAAGCCTTGCAGCCAGCATGGTAGGTGATATACCGGTTTACTAAGCAGATCTGAAATGCTAGGTAGAAAGGTAGAGGGAAAAAAAAATTTAATTAAGAAGGGAACAGAAGAGAAGAAGAGAAGCCAAAGAATGGGAGAAACTAAGTTTCAGTAGGAACAAAAAATCAGAACAGCGACCTTATTAAATTTTTAATGTTGAATCCTCCTCTTGTCTCTCCTAACTCATGAAATCTTGTTTGGGATGGGTCACCCAATGATATAAATTACAGTTTGGCCACATATATGTAATAGAGAATGAACGTTATCTCGTTAACACAATTATGTTTAGACAGATTTTACAATCATAGCTTTGCCTGAGCTTTATACCATCATTCAATGAGTAAAAGAATCTGTGTAACGTCGGCACAGGAAAAACATCATCCAAAGAAAAGACGAATAACCTTTTGAGGCCACTGTACAACACTAAAAGATAAAAGACATCAACAAAAGCCAGCCATGTAAATGTCTACTAAATAAGTCGAATATTACTTCCCTTTAAGATATGACAGACACATTCAAATTAATTTATTCCATTACTAGACATTCGATCAGAACAAACGTAATTGCCCAGCCAGGTTTCCCTACTGTTAAAAGACTCCTTCCGTTGTCCTCAACCACACCTCCTTCCACAATATTCTAAAACTGAATTGTCTCCTCAGCTCCACACTAGATAAATGGTTACGTGAACGTCTTTCTGTAATACTACAAGCACATTTCTAGCCAAAGAGTTGTGATGAATCTTAGGCAAGTGACTATCCTTCCGCGTCTCTTTCCTTACTTGTCAACACAAGAAAATGGGACCAAAACAGTGTTCTGATGGCAATGCTGTGGAACTCTGAAAACCGCCCAAGATTTCTTTTAAACTTCAAGAATGTAAGGAGAAAGAAGTTTTAACCAACACCTCCACAGTTAAGAACCTCTTTTAAAAGCCCGAGGATCATTCCGTAGCAACTATGGCGTGCACACAAACTCCAGGAACCTGACCTTGGGGAAATCACCGCGAGCCCTCCTGCTACTTTCATGCTATTACATCATCTCAGCCCGTCGCATCGGCTTCCTGCCCGGGACAGAGACCTAAGTGGCCTTCGGTCGTGTAACAGCGCAGGAGCAAGTGCGGGATCTGGACCCCTGAAACGTGCTCCTGTGGGCTAGGTTTGGCGAACTGCCTTCGCCCCGTCCTCGAGCACGGCCGTCAGGATGCCTGGTCCTTTCCTCTCGCCGCTAGGCCGCAGCCTCCGCGTCCCCGCGCCGCCCCACGGTACCCTCACCCCGTCCGCTGGGGCGGCCGCGCAGGTCTCCGGGGAGCTGACTCAGCATCTCCCCGCCCGGGGCGAGCCCGGCCAGACCCCGCGCCGTGACGACGCCCGCCGTGAGGACCGCGATCCCCGGGTTCCGCGGGGCAGTACCTCAGCTCCGGCCACCACCTCCGCGGGCTCCCTTCCGGGCCAGCCGAACTGCGAGCGCACGACCTCCCTCTGCCCGCTCCTCCGCAACCCCGCGGCTCTCCGCGTCACGCAATATCCGGACAAGAGGTAAACAGTACAAACAGCCAATCAGAGCGGGCCTCTGGCGGAAGCGCCGGCGCAGGGCGGGAGGCGGGCCTTGGGTTGGAGACGGGCCCAGTGGTCGGAAACGTCACAGTCAGCGTCCATTTTGGATGTGGGCTGCGAAGCCGCCTCCGGCATTTTAGCTCCAGGCAGCGGAAAACGGAATTGGGATGGACCGGCGCGGTGACGCGGACCTTAAATCCCAACCCTTAGGAGGCAGAGGCAGGTCCAAGGCTACCCTAGAGTTACTTTCGTTATTGGATTTAGGTTTAACAATAAATTTTCACATTTAAGTTGGATTTTAATTCTATTTAAGAGTCATAAAACATGTTTCACGCTGAGTAGTTAGCTCGGGTTAATTGTATAGTCGCGGTGGCTGGCACTAAGAGGTATAACTTGGTCAAACTTTTTTGTTAATTGCTTAATTTTTTATCACTCTTTTCTTCCTTGGGGCTGTGGCTAGGCAGAGTGTCCTGAGTTAAGTGATAAGTACATATTTATTATTTTCCTTTTTACATTACGTGAATTTTAAAGGATTTGAGACTGGCTTAGTGAGTTTGCATGTGTTCATTTACCTCGAGTTAATTATAAGGCCGGGACCAAACCTTTGGTATCTATGGGATGAAAAGTTCTGTGTAAACGTTTTCAGTACTTTTGCTGTTAAGCTACATGAACTAGATGTAAATGTATTAATACAAAATTTTTATGACTATGATAATTTTTTTATATGTACTGAAAACTAAGTCTTAAATTTGTGAATTTTTATACGGTAGATAAGAAGATAATGCCAATGGTCTACACAGTTTCAGTGCTGCCAGAGTTAAAAAGTGAGACCTTGGAGGAGTGGGGTGAAGTGTCACAATTGAAAACCACACCTTTCTGATTGTCGTAAAAACATTCTTGTCGAATGTGGCAATTTTCGATCAGAACCAGCCTGTTTCTTGAGTGTGCTGTTCATGGTTGGTGAAATCTCGAGGGTTTCATTTCTGAAAAAAAAAATTTTTTTTTTTTTGGTTGTTGTTTTGTGATGTTTTAGTTTTTGTTTGTTTTCAAGCTTCGGGCTATACTTGAGTAACAGAAGGAGAATGCTTACAGACCACTCTCTCTCTATCATGGGTTTTTTGTGAAGGCTGCTGAGATGCTGCAGTGGGGAGGTAATTGATTACCATAAGAGCTTCTTTTATGTTCTTTCTTTACTCTTTCTTTCTTTCTTTCTTTCTTTCTTTCTTTCTTTCTTTCTTTCTTTCT